GGCCGCCACTTTCTTCCTGGCTTCTCCCTCCTCCAACTCCGGCTGCGGCGGCGGCGGCACCGCTGCTTGGTTCCCTAGGCCTTCCCCTCCCTCCCGCGAACAGTTTCGTCCCGCCCTTTCCCTCATGCTCGCTATTGGCACCGCGCCATTGGCTCCATCCTACACCCCTCCCGCACTTGTGCTATGCCATTGGTCAGGCCACGACGTCTTTCATCTAGTCAGTCCATCCCTCCCACACAGAATAAGAACTTCTCATTGGCCAGATGAGTTGTCAAATGTCGAATCTGAGAGGAGGAGTCGGGGTGGGCTCAAAGGGGGCGGGGAAAATCACAAAAGCCGAGCTCCGTACTTTATCTCCTCTTTCTATTGGTTCAAAGGGAAAATGTAGCTTTATGATTGGCTTACGCTCCTGCCCATTATCAGTCCCGGTCTTCGGAGGTGGGAGAAAGGATGAGATCACGTGGTGCGCTTGTTCTTTCAAAGATGACGGAGGGGAGGAGTAACGGGAGAATACGGGAGGGGGAACCACTTCCCAAGAATCTCTGCGCAGAGATCCTTAGAATAAATGTTATTTCTAGGGGCGGACCTGCTTGCGGCAGAGTGTGGGTACGACAGGCATCTTTGGGAAGAACAACTAAAGTTGAGAATAATTTCGCAAGCACTTTTTGAGACCCTGCTCTGGTCTTCACTTTGCTAGTATGGCTATAGTATGATGTACAATACATTTCCCCATAACCTCAAGGCAGCTGCTCGAGTCTCCACACAAGGAGTGTTTTCCTTCACTTTTTAGGAACAAAGAACGAATCTCCACTTTCCAGGAATTTAGTAATTTCAAAGAAGGAAAATGCTAGTGAAAGAGAAGAGACACCTTCCACACTAGACAAAGTGAAAGCAATCCTGAGACATTGCTCATTCTCTCCAAAAATGGGACACACCTGGTGCCTGGCAAGCATTCTTTCTTTCCTGACCTGTCCTATTTGGGCCTATTTGGGTATTAAAAGTCTCTCTTCAGTGTCCTGATGCACCTCCTTCTCTACTTTCATTTTCAGTCTCTTGATTTGTTATGTCTGGAAGAATCTGAATGTGTTTCTCTCAGACTGCGCCTCAGTCAGTCCTTTTCTATGGAAGAACAGAGATTGTAGGCAGTGAGTATGCTTACAGGACAGAGGGAAGAAAAGTTTCCGATGTTGAAGGAAATAAAAATGGAATTATAAAGAATAACTGCAGCTAACATTTTTGAGTATCGTGCACTAGGTACTAGTATACTGTAATATACCTCTCATTTAATACTTGCAGGTACTATTATTACACTTGTTTTATTAAAAATTGAGCTACGAAGAGGCTGCTAAGATCACTCACCTGCTAAACTGCACAGTCAGAATTCCAGTTTTGCATTAAAAAGCCCCAAAATGGCAATAAGCAAATATCGTTATGTGTCCTATTTATTTCACATCAGGTGGCTCTTGGGAAAAATCCAGTAAGAGATGTCAAACAGGAAAGTTTCCGAATCTAACAGAAGGAATTAAATGTACTTAGTGTTCATTCTGTAGCAGGGATTAGGAAGCGGAGTCTTAGGTTAAGGAGTTTGCACTTGTCTAGCATGGGTGCAGCCCTGGTTTTCCCAGGGAAGTTAGGTGAGGAAGGCCGGGTCTGTTATCTCTTGCAGGCAAGATGCTTTCCTTCATGACACCCTGTGTAGAGTTCACCACAATGAGTTAACCATACATATAGGCTGTGAAATTCTGAGACCCTGAGTTTCCAAATTGTGTAATCTCCCACAGGGAGAAAAAAAAAATCTAACTTGGGTCCTAGGACCTTATTACCTCTTATAGCAATTCATTGCAGGATACTGAAGTGAATAATTTACATTTCACATTTATATTGTGACATAGTAAGTCACCTTCTAAACTGTCATTTTCATTCTGCAACTCAAGTCTCTGTTGGCCTGCTGTGTTGACCTCAAGTGTACCATCTTCTGCTTTACTTTCAGGGCCCTCTCTGTTCTCACCCTACCTTTCAAGATCTATTCTCCACTAGTCCTCAGGCCTTCTAATTCTGGGAATATCTGGTCATCCATCCTTCATCCATTTATTCATTTATTCATTCAGCAAATAAATATTGAAGGCCAACTGTCATCAGTTACTGGGATAGGCAGGTAGAAGGCATGCCATAAAGGTTACAAAAGATTTAGTAACTGCCTTTCTGAACCTTTTTATTTTTCCTAGTAGTAAAGCTAAGAAATAATCCAAAAAATGAATAAACAAGGGGCTGGGGTTGTGGCTCAGCAGTAGAGCACCCGCCTAGCATGTGCAAGGCACTGGGTTCAATCCTCAGCACCACATAAAAATAAATAAAATAAAGGCATTGTGTCCAACTACAACTAAAAAAACTTTTAAATGAATAAACAAGAAGATGATGGATTGTGAGCATTGCCAGGTGTACATTGGGGTCAAAAATAACAGCAATTGCTTAAAGTTCTGAGGCAAAAGAGAGCTTGACTTGTTCCAGTGTGGTTGAAGAGGAATGAACACCAAGATTAGTGGGTGAGATGAGGTTGGGAAGGAAAACAAGGCCTAAATCATATGTCAAGTATACAAAAGTAAGGAATTCTGCTCTCAGGGAACTCCAGATCTAGTGGGGAATGTGGCTTTTACATTTGCTGTTGTCTCCTAGTCACTTCTGCAGTCACTGTCCTTCTGGCATAGAACTGGCTTAGAGGAGACCCTTGATGTTTATGTCATGGATATCCACATGGTATGTGTGGCTAGCTAGATAGTGAGCCGGGTGGATAGTTGGAGGATTGGACAGATGGTTGACTAGATGGATGGATGGTTGGATGGATGATTGGCAGGGATAAGCAATCCAGCTGGTTGCTTCAGCAGATCCTCTCTGTCACAGACTTTGATTTCAAGCTCTGCAGGGTACTATAATTTAGTGACTAAAAACTCGAGTAGATGTGAACAAACCTGTGTCTGACTCCCCAGTCAGACTTATGACTCGCTATTTGAACTAAGAATGATCTTAGGCAAGTTGCTTAGCCTCTATTTGCTCATTTATAAGCTATTTTGTACATATTATGTAACCTCACTTGTATCTTAATAATAACTATTTACCAATAGGGTTTGTTTTTAATTATATAAAGTAAAAAGGGCATAACATATACCCTCAATCAGTAAAAGTAGCTCAATATCTGTTAGCAATAAGGTATAGAAACTTAGAACTTACATGAAGGGTATTGACCCCCCCAATAATCAAACTTGTTATCATTAAGCAAAAACTGAAACACTAGGATGTTGATACATGAAGAAGGATAAATATATTTAAATATGGCTTAGTGGTTATTTTTGTGGGCCTGGATTTTGTGGGAAGTCCAATTATAGCGAGAAGAAAACATGGGGAGTAAAGACTCGTTCAGGACAAAGGGAATGGATCTTCTCATAGGACATAACTGCCAAACCATAGCGACTAAATGAGTTGTTCCTCCAATTCTGTCTATTTCCATGTAGGTAACCAATATTTCTCTTCTATAATCAGTTCTTCTGCTCCAAGACTGAGATGGAGATAGATGACTACTGACAAATGTGTCAATCATTGACTCTGTCACTATGTCTCAATAGTTCTCAATGTATCAGGGGATATCTATGAGAAACTGCCTGAAAGTTATTTTGTACATATGGTGGGATCCCATAAAAACAAGCAAAACAAATGATGCTGGGCTTGGGTTTTTTGGTTTTTGTTTTGTTTTGTTTGTGGTGCTGGGGATTGAACCCAGGACTTTGTGCATGTGAGGTAAGCATTCTACCAACTGAGTATATACCCAGCCCCTTGGGGTATTTTTATAGTACTGGGAGTTGAACCCAGGACCTTGTGCATACTAGGCAAGTACTCTGCCACTGACCAATTTCATCTCTAGGCCTTTGGGGTTTATTTTCTTGCAGATTCACTCAGGCTGGCCTCAAACTTGCAATCCTCCTGCCCCAACTTCCAGAGCAGCTGAGATTACAGGCTTGCATAAATGTACCTGTCTTCAAATTGATGCTATCAGAAATCAAGATATAGGGTTATTCTCTGCAGGGGGTAAGTAGGAGCAGAGTAGCTAGTGACTAACAGGAATATGAGTGGAGTTTGCTGGATTCTGATAATTTCTGTTTCTTGGTCTGGGTACTGGTTACACAGGTATGCCCAGCTTTTAAATATGCATCAAGGAAGCCAGGCAAGGTGGCACACACCTGTAATCCCAGCAACTCCAGAGATTGAGACAAGAAGATTGCAAATTCAAGACCAGCCTGGGCAATTTAGAGAGAGCCTGCCTCAAAGTAAAAATTAAAAAAGACTGATGTCTCAGCTTAGTGTTAAAGTATTCCCGGGATCAATCCCCAGTATCTCAAAAAATACAAATAAAAAATAAAAAGGACTGAGGATGTACTTCATTGATAAAAAACACACTTGGGTTCAATCCCCAATATAAATAAAATAAAATAAAATAAAAAATCAAGGGGTGAGGAGTGTTGCTCAGTAGTAGAGTGCTTACCTAGTATGTAGGAAGCCCTGTGTTTGGTCCCAAGAACAGAAAAAAAATTAAAGTTTAAAAAAGTACATTAGGGGGCT